ACTTTTCCATCTTCCCAAACTCCGAGCCCAGTAAACAATAACCCCCTCTCTCCTCCTTCCCGCCAGCGCCCTGGTCATCACCGTTAGAACTGCACGCTCTGTGAAATTGACTAACAGTGTCCTCATGTGGAAAATGGTGAACACGTGAACTTCAAGCAGATTGTAGTGTCCTTGGGTTACATGACTCACACACAAAGCAACAGAGGCCAGTAGGTGATGTGCACACGGATTTCTGAAGGAGCTGCAATGCTGAAGAGAGGAAACTGCATAGTGGCAACTTTAGGACAGAAATGGGGCTCAGAGAGGGGAATCAAATAAACGGCACTGGAATCGGATGATATGATGTAAGGGCAAGGTAGGGAAGCAATATGAAAACCGTTCCCCTTTTTGACAGCTGGGTCAGTGGCATTTAGAGGGGAGGCGGCCAGCTCCAGGCCTGGGGAGGAAACGCTGTGCTTGACGACAGGTCCCTCAAAAGCCCTAGCGCAGAAGGCAGTGCGTGAGGCCACGCCCACGGCTACAGGAAGAGGCACAGCTGGGCTCCCACCAGCTCTGGCTGAGGGATGACTGGCTGCAACACCAGATACTCCTCCAGTAAGTCTCTTATCAGCATCTACTTCCCTTGGCAAGGAAAAGCATTTCCATTAAAAAGAGCCTAGTCCAACGCCTTCTTCATTTATTTGAGTCTCCTCTTGAGGGTCTGTTCGTGTCACCTGTAACTGACCCTAAAGCCGAGTGGCTCTTTGTTCACATGTCTCAGCAGCAAAGCCTCTCATCTCTCTACGTGATGCATATACAAAAGCTGTTTTTAGGAACTCCTATTTCAGACAGTGAAAATTCACATGGATAAAGCAACGCTGTGAAAACAGATGGCTAAACAGAAAGATACTTACCAAACCGCGATTCTATGCTCTCATTCGGATGGGAGAAAAAAAGACATCCGTTGTTGTGGATGCGTGTCGAAAGTAAACATCAAGGAAGAACTGAAGGGGTCCCAAAGCAAACTGGAATGACTTCGCAGCCAACGCACCATACCAATTTTATACCACCGTTGTGGGGTTTCACAAGTGGATTCACAAAACGGAGGACGGTTTAGGAACGGCCTCTTGGTCTACTGAACGTCATAGTTAGAATTATTCCCTTGTTATCTCCCCTTTTCTTATTTGATGGACCATGCTTGAGAAGCAACCAATAATATGAGAAATCCAGAAAAGGCAAGTTCACGCGCACAGAAAGTGGAATGATGATCACCAGGGGCCGAGGGCAGGGAGTCACGTCCAGACTTTCTGCTTGTGAGGATGAAGGCATTCTGGAAACTGATGATACAATGGTCGCACAACACGGTGAATCTAATTAATGCCACTGAATTGTACACTTAAAATGGTTAAAATGAAAATATCTATGTGTATTTTTACCACAACAGAAAGCAACAGATAATGTAAGCACGTGATTTATTACTGAATCTGCTGACAATAGTAACTTAAGTTTTTGAATCTCATTCCTGGTCTGCTTCCTTTTCTGTTTCCTAAACAGACTGCCTCACACTTTTTCTCCTTCTTCTCCAAAACCATAACTCTGCCTTCTCCACCCCCAGCAGATAAGCTTGTCTATTTTCACCAGAAAAATGGAGGCCACAAGACAGACATTGGTTCAACGTCCTTCCCTCTCGCTCAACTTACCTCTTCTCCGCCTCTTATTCTCCCCCGAGGGTCCCATGTGAGCGCAGCCCTGAGCACATCCCTGGAACCGGAGCACTTATTTTCCTGCACCCCCGACATCCTTGCGATTTCACGCCCCCCCCCCATTCGCCAGGGCGCTCACGGCAC